TCCCGGCCCTGTTTTTTTTTTTTAGCCCCCCCCCCCCCCCCCCCCCCCTCCTCCGCGCCCGCTGTGGCTAGGCCAGAGCTTTGGACATTTAGCGTACTGCTGTATGTACAAGGCTGGACCGGAATCCTTGCCGTATTGCTTGCCTCTCTCTCGTGTGCTGTAAGCGTCGGCATCGGTCGGTGGTTCCGTCGAGTATGTGCGCGCAGCACCCACCCCTCCCTGTGCGAACAACAAGCGCACGACTAGATAGATAGATAGGGCGGATGCCGTGCCTTTTTTGGTGGTCCGCAGAGCGTCCGTCCCGGAAGACTCTTTCTCGCGTGGTGGCATGGGGACAAAAAACAAGCAAACGAATAGTCGTGTTGGGTGATTTGATATTTTTGTAATGCGTGGGGTTTTGCGAATTAAGACAGCGGCGAGCGGCACTGCTGCTGCTGCTCTTTGCTAGTTTTTTCGGTCGAAGTGGTGCGCAGCAGTGCGGTTCGGTAAAACGGAGCGGCGCTTTGTGCTACGTGCGGCGCAATGAGTTGCCGTTGAAGCGGCGGATGGATCGCGTTTGGTGGTATTTTTGCTGTGATGTTGGTGGCGGTGGTCGGTGTCGTCCTCTCTTAAAGCGCCAGAGGGCAAACACAAGGGTACAGCAACGGAATTACCAGTGTTTTTAGGAATGCATAGACTATTCAATAGTTGAAGGGGGTTAGTTTTTGTTGTTGGTGCTGTTCTTCGCGCTGTTCGGCGTTGTTGATTGCTCGTACCGCCGTTTCACTGTGAGGACGAGACACACCCGTCTGTGCTCGTTCGTGTCTGTCTGTCGTTTGCTACTGTAGGTATAACCCCGTAGGAGGTCCGTGTACAGGATGTCTTGGGCCGTCCTGTGGGAGGTCCATGTAGAGGGAGGGATGTTCTTGGGGTTCTTTAACACCTTGGAACCGTAAGCCAGTTAGACTCACTGGGCAACGGGGAGACTTGTGGCCTCCTGACCATGCGGTTACACATTATTTGTCGACGGTATTCATTGTTTTTGTTTTACGTGCGCATCATTTTACGTCTTTGTTACCCCGTTCTTTGTCGTTCAGTTGTTTATCCGTATAGATAGATGTTAGGTTAGGCGGTTAGAGGCAGAAAGACTGAACGTTACAGTACATACCGTAGACAGCCAAGGTATCAATCTCCAACCTCCGATGTTCCTAGACTGGTTGGGTGGCCAGCTGCTTGCCTAGTACGCTGCTGCTGCGCCTTGCTTTTAGCGGGGGCACACGGCTTACTTGGGAATCACGTAGGTTTTGGAGAGAAAGGCCAGAGGGGCGGCATCCACGTATTGTTACAGGGCTTGCTTACCTCAGCGTGGAGATGTTTATTCATCGTGCCAATGTTATCCTCTGCACTGTGTGCCGATGGTGTCGTTCTAGCCTTCTCGACATGGGCAACTGCACAATCCTCAGCGCGTAAACTCCCTCCCCTTGCAGATTGATTTAGTTAGCCACGGATGCGCTGCTCATGTACAATAGTAGGCTCTTTGGTGGAAGGAGTTTGCTTCCTTCCTGCCCGTGGTGGGAGAGATCTACCTATCTTGTAGATACAGCGGCGGTGAGTTTCCCGCTCCGTACAGAGGCAATACAGGCAAAGAGGGTGGTACAAATGGTGTCGTTGTTCTTCGCTGACGGTGTGAACAAGAACAGCAGTCAAGCGCGACAATATATACGAGTCCACAGTTAATTGGAGGCGCTCGTGGAAAGAAGAAGGCGTCAACGACCCCATGCTCCAAGAAGATCCACAATTAATTGCTGCAATGCAAACCCATAATAATTTAGTCACTTCTGCAAAGACAGAAGGCACAACGCGACCGTCACCGCAACAGACATGCCCTTCTTCGCTTCTTCGTCCGGTCCGGCCGGCCGAACCCCTAAAAAACGGTCAACCGAGCGCTTGTTTCCTTCATCGACCCCTCCCCCCGCAATAACGTTTTTCGTATCTGAACCCCCACCCATCACGAGAGATGACCACTGCTTCCTCTCTCCCATCGCTACAAAGGCGGCGGGGACATATATATCAAGCTTGCGGGAAACCAGGGCATTCATTTATCTCAAAACTTTTGAATGTACGAAGCACAGCAGACGTACACAGAACAGCCTCGATGAACGATCAGTTCAAGGTCAACAGCAACAAGAAACACTCGGTGCTCTCTCTCGCAACATGAACATTCCAACCGACCACGAAATGCCGGTGCTGGAACGCCAAACTACAACAGAACTCACCGACTACCGCATAAGGCAAACAGGAGGTGATTTCCAAGTTGGGATTCGGGGCCAAAACCATCTCCGTGTTCAACACAGCTGCTGCGGACGGTGTCATTGTTCCGCCGCAACAGCACCCGGGGTGACGGGTGACGGGGGGGGTGGGGGGGAGCTGCCACGTCGTCGGCAGAACGACGGACAAAAATTAACGTAAGGCCGGGCGAGCAAGACGAGTCTGCCGTGTGTCGCTCTGCTGACTGCCCTCTGGCCCACCCCCATTTACTTGCCGGGCGCTGCCGTGGCTACCCTACCTCTCTGGCGATGTATCCACAGCGTTGTGCTGTCCTGGCGATGTATCCACAACAACAGCCGCCCCCGCGGAATGTTCCGAAGTACCGCCACACCACAAAACTTATCACCACCTCCACTGGCAACAACACACACGTCTGAAACTACCCCGCACGAAAAAAAAGAGAGAAATCCGAGATATGGACCATTACATTGCTCTATCGTCTTGTCCTTTTATCTCCGCTTCCCTCTCCCTCCACGGCTCCCCCCTCTCCCTCCCCCCCGACCGCCCATCCTTTGTCTCTTGAAGCTCCTCACTACCGTCTCTGCGTCTTCTCCCCCGTCCCCGCCGCCGCCCCTGTGTTTCCCCTTCCTGCGGAGGTCAAAACCCGAGCGGACAGCGGGGGGGTCAGCACTAGGGCGAGGGGGGGGGGGGGGTCTCTAGTCCCCCGGTTCGTAACAAGATAGATCGAAAATGTCGAAAAAATATGGAGCGTTTGAGTTACAAAGCGTTTCTTGGAAAGAGGCATATGATGAGACGGAACAATCGAGTACTCGCATCTCTCGGCACTATTACAATGAGTCTGCTTCAGCCAGAAACGTACAACGCACGTCTTCCTTCAGCCAAACTCCATGACAGCCGTCTCCTCAGCTCCCCCCCCCTCTGCTTCTGGATTGTCTGGACTGTCCGTACCTCCTGTGTCTTACAACAGTGGTCCGGTAGGCGGGTTCTTAAGGCTTGACCTGCGAATCTTGCAACTGGACAGGAGTAGGCCAGCAAATCCCCGACAAAACTCTCATGTTTAAGGCGCAACCTTGGCTAATATCCCGAAACAACGCCCAGATTCCATATTTATTGGCACTGGTAGATTGAACCGAAATACACGTGGGGGCGAATCGTGTTTTTTCGCTAAATTTAATGGCTTTAACATCGGAGGGGGGAGGGGTCAAGCCCCCTACAGGTGATCATGTCACAAAGATGAACTTTTATATCTGTGGCCACGAACACTGGCGAAACCAACATGAACCGTGACGTCATTCACTCCGCTCACAAGGAGGTTGCACAGTGAAAGCTCGCATGCTGCCTTTTCGAGCGCGCAGAGGCCGCAGAATGTTCAAGTCGTTCTTTTTGTATAACAAGTGTTGTTGTGCCTCCAGATTGGTCGACTGGAAGCGTAAAATAAAAATCAGAACAAGACGGCACACCTTTTCTACTGTATGGGACTCGAACTACGGTATCTTCTTTCCTCTGTTTACTTTACTCAACTCTGCCTGCGCTAATTTGGCAGCCTCTAACCACGAGCAGGTTCTGAGACCTAAAGAAGTAGTCTATGATGAGAAGGAAGGGGGGCAATTAGTAGAGGCTTGCATAAACGTTTTCACTTTTTCTGTGGAGACATGAAACACCAACAACCACGATCAGAACCGTGGCAACCCCAACCATCTACCAACCACAAGGTAGTTTATTTGTTGCTTTTGCTGTGTGCCAAGAAAGACGGAGCACAAGCACAACAAACATCGCGTTCATCCTTCCATTGGCCGTTTTTTTGTCGGTGGAACCACGGGGGGGATGATACAGAGGGGGTCCCTCAACAGTGCCGGTTGAAAAGCGCCATTGCCCGATATAGTGCCGTCGGTGACATAGCGTGACACGGATGGAATCGTTCTGCCGTATACCACACAAGATAACACACCCCCAAGACCGATTTTCAAAGCTCGATTACGCCACGACGAAGAACATCCATAAACGAAACGAAACGTTTTCGGAAAGCTCTCGACCAGACAGCTTCAACGCCGCCGTCTTCGGCGCTGTGACTCTTTCTGCTGATGAGAAATCGAGCTTCGGAAATCGGTCCAGGCGGTGCGGTATCTTGTGTCGTATACGGTATTCACGTTGTCTCATTCTCTGAACAGTGCCGCCGGGTGCCCGATTCAGTGCCGGTGAAACTGGCGGGCACATACCGGCCTCTACCGAGACCCCCCTCACGATTATACAATACGTACTTGTTGAAGTCCGCCTCGCGCATCTCCCTCGCCGCCATCCTCTGCGCCTCTCCCACGCGCTCCTGCAGCACCAGGACCGTCTCCTCGTCGCACACGTACGGCGGGAGCTTCTGCCCGATCAACGCCTCCATACGCTGGTAAACCTCCACGTCATACTACAAAGAACAGAGAAAACATGGGCAGCGTTGGGGAGGGGGAACTCATGTTTTGAATGCCTTAGTTGCTAGACTACTGACCAAGCGTCCTCTCGATAGGACGGAGCATTGTTCCTAAAGGACCGATCACCGATGGCCAGTCGTTCTTTCCTACTTTGCCGAAGGTATTCGGAGAGGGGGGGGGGGGGGAGGCAATGGATTAACACGATAGACGCCGCCCCTCACTAAATACCGTCACACCTGACGGTCTGGGGTTGGCATTACCGTACTTGGATCAAACAAACGATTATCTTGACGGGGAAAGGTGGGAGGAGGGTACGATACTGGGGCATTCAGGCGACGCGAGAGGGGCGGAGGAGGGGCAATACCCTACCTGACCAAACGCCCCAGTCTGCCGCGAACAACATCGATACACAGCAGTTCGCCGAATAAAAGAGCCACGACTTTTGTAGTGGCGACGATGACGTGTGTAAATAGAAGACCGACCCATGCATGCATACCTGTGTGACAAAGGCGATGGAGCGCCCGGCCCTTCCGGCCCTCGCGGTTCTCCCCACCCGGTGTATGTAGTCCTTGCCGTGGCTCGGGATCTCCATGTTAACCACCAGGTCCACCTGACCCGCGACATCGACAACAGTCACATCGACCAAGGATCGACGGGTATGGTCGGTCAGGGCGCGTTTTGCGTGGATACATAACGACGCGAAGCAAGCACGATCCATGCCGACGAAACAAGACAAGAACAGAACGACGGCGGCGCGAAGAGACGTACAGACTAAACAAGGCACCAGCACGCAGTACTGCAAAGCTCGAAATGCAAATGCAGCAGAGCCAACGGGGACGACGAGCACACGTCCTCGCCCTTGGTGCTTCCCCCTTGACACCAGGCCTATAAGCGCTCCAATTAATCCCCCCCACGCGCGCTTGGTTAGCCAGGGTGCCCAATCAACCCATGACATATCTGGTTCGGCACAAGCAAACGAGAGGATAATGACCACCCTCTCGTTCATCCTTGTCACACACGTAGCCTGGGACGGCGAAAACCCGACATATCGCTCCGCCCGGGCTTTGAAGGGGATGCGAGGTCATGGGTCTAACGACTACGGCATATGCGC